TTTGACATGTAACAATTATCAGTGTTTTCAGTAACCACTTTGGTAATCCTTCACTGTTACTGTTAAAATAGTTTCACAAGGATAAGTTGTGTAAAATGAAACCAGATTCTGCCCAAACAAATAAAAATATATTGTTATGGACATAATTTCATATAAGTGCCAGAAGAGGGAAGTTGCCACTATGCTTATATATAATACAAAATTACATCATTTACACAGAAACAATAAAGTGATAAATGCAGAATGACAAAAGCTGAAAACAACAACAAAAACAAAAACAATAACAAAACTAATCAATTCTTTAAACACTGACTCTTTTGATTCAAGCACAATCATTTTTTACAGTATATGCAGTAAAGTTTTTTTTTATGAGCCAGGACATATAATAATTGAATAAACTGCCTTGTTTTCCCTCCACACTCCATAAATTGGGCAAAGTAGAATTTCAGTTCCTCTGACAGTCTGCAGGCCACAGACATCACAGTGTCACACACATGACTTTGTTACTTTTCAGTTTCTATTTCACTGTGGCATCAAGACAAAGGGTCATCAACCCCAGAAAATCATTAATAGTATTGCAGAAAATAATATCTTATTATTAATAATAATAATTATAACATATATATATATAATAATAATAATAACTTATAAATAAATAAATAAATAAATAAATAAATACCTACAGCGTGATCAGTAGCTTGTTTCAATAGACAAAAAGGGAGCAAGTGGAACAACAGAACTTGATGAGAAACAAACAGCTCGACAGTGGGACTTAGATGCACACACCTTTTTTATATAAGGGAAAGGGGGCGGTGCTTCAGTCACAAGCAAAACGCAAAATTTCACATCCAGTGGGAGTGGCCAGTCTCACAGATATTGCTGTGTTTCAGTAATGAGCTTCTACAAACCACATCTGATACGTCACATTAGTTGACCATAAGTGACTAACCAGATGTTTAATTCTCACAATATTTCTTTTTTTTTTTAAATCCAAGTAAAGGGCAGTTTTCTTCCCTTCCTGTATTAAACCTAACTGTAGGAGTAGTAGCAGTATTTCCATAGGGGCGTTTCTGGTTTAAGATTTAAAGAGACATATTTTTTGTTCGTGTTTTACACAAAACAGCCGCGCTCTTGTATTAAATGGCACAAATATATAAAATAAAAAAGCTATGATAGCATGCACAGAACAGATTTCTTCTGCTTCATCTGTCTTTTTCATCACTGTAACAAGCACATTTTATTTAATTTCATTTGTTATTTTTCTCATGTCGACTAAGCGTGATCTGCATGTCTGCTTGTGTCTGATCACGCTCTTCTGCCAAACGCTTAGAAAAGCAGTCAGGTGAGAGGGCGACTGAAGTAAAGTGCAAACGTTTTTTCAGGGGGGAGGGAAGAGGGTTTTTCTTCTTTGTGATCAGCTTCACTGCCTCATCTAATCAGAAACTCCACTTTTGGTTTAAAACTATGCGTTGTTATCCTTTAGACAGAAAACATTGCTGTGAATATGAAAGCAAAATGCACCTACAGCATTAATGGTTAGTGATTTCAGAGAATTTTTAAATAAACATATATGAATGTCACTTTAACTATTGTGTTTAAGTGAAAATGAGAATGGGTCTTACTATACAATGTACCCAACGTAATATCAAAATATGATTACCCTTTATTCGAAATGTCTGCTGGGCAGAAGAATTTCACACTTTCTGGTTCATCTGTATTTAATTATGCTTAAAGTATCAGAGTGAAATTTAAAAAGCCTGAACTACTTTTGCACTGTATCCACACACCTGATAGTGGAAAAACATAAAAAAAGGATAATAATATTTGATGTGTTTAATCACGATCCCATCAACCTACAGACTTTCAAATTTGATCTATAATTAGTAAAGCATAATTAAACACTGTATAACATGACGGTGACATTACAGATTTCTAATAAAAGTAAAAAGAGAGTGAAATAAAAAAAACAGTTTCAGCAGTTTTAAATGTTTTGAGATAAAGTTTACATTCCCAGAACAAATTCTTGTAAACATCACGTTGAAACACCAAAACATGTTTGACTTACTGAAGTGA